CTTAGGAGCACTGACCAGGGCAAGACTGTGTTCTTCATAGTGACAATCATACCTACTCTTTGTACCTCCAGGGCCTCTACAGTTACTGGTACATTTAGAAATTTAGTAAATATTTGTTGAATTAACAACATTCCACTGGAGTTGAGTGGGGTACAGTTTTCTTATTCCCAATATTCTCCTAATTGCTTGGCCTCAGGCATGATCACTGTGCTGTAAAACAGCGATCGCCAACCAGTGGTCTGGTGTCCATGGGATCTGAAAGATTGGCGACTGCTGCTCTAAAGATACCAGGGATGCCTGGCTGGCATGGCTCAGTGGTTGAGCGTTGACTTATGAACCTAGAGGTCACGGGTTCGGTTCCCAGTCAGGGCACATGCCTGGATTGTGGGCTCGACCCCCAGTGTGGGGCGTGCAGGAGGCAGCCAATCAATGATTCTCTCTCTTCATTGATGTTTCTATCTCTCTCTCCCTCTCCCTTCCTGTCTAAAATAAATAAACTCAATAAAAAAAGTTTTTTTAATTAAAAATATTAAAAAAGCAACTTCCTCTTGGAGCTTTTCTGACACTGTCCCTCCTCCCAGAGACATAAGCACCTGTCTGCTCTCCAGGGCACCAGCTCCATCAGAGCACACAGCAGGCTCGCCTTTTCCTGAAATGTGTCCTCTGGGACAGTGGTCGGCAAACTGCGGCTCTTTGGCCCCTTGAGTGTGGCTCTTCCTAAGCCTTAGGAGGACCCTAATTAAGTGAATAACCATGTACCTACCTATATAGTTTCAGTTTAAAAAATGTGGCTCTCAAAAGAAATTTCAGTCGTTGTACTGTTGGTATTTGGCTCTGTTGGCTAATGAGTTTGCCGACCACTGCTCTAGGCCCGGGCTCATATGTGTTCTTCTGTGTGTGTCTAGCATCCAGCACACGAAGGCTCAATAAATATTTGTTGAATGAATGGCGGGCAAGGAGAAATGGTTGAGGAACATTAATCGCCAGCCTTTACCCAGCACGTGTGTTCTGCCAGGCACTACGCAAACGCATGTGCACTGCATAGTCTGGTCTCTTCTTAATATAACCCCAGGAAAGAAAACTGGCTCTGGCCCGTGTGGCTCAGTGGGTTGGGTATCGACCTGTGCACTGAAGGGGCTCGGGTTTGATTCTGGGTCAGGGCACATGTCCAGGTTGCCGGCTTCATCCTGGTTGGGGTGCAAGAGGGGGGGCAGCTGATCCATATTTCTCTTTTGCATCAGTGTTTCTCCCTCCATCCCTCCCTCTCTTCCTCTCACTCTGAATTTAAAAAAAATAATAACATATTTAAAAATAAATAAATAAATGTCAGAAAACCGCCTCACCGAGAGACTAATCACTTGTCCAAGGTCACAAGCTATTAGATGGGACAGGGTCTCACGGTCCGGGCAGTTCTAAATGTTATTGCCAAATATTGCGCTTCTAAAGCAGCGGTTCTCAACCTGTGGGTCGCGACCCCTTTGGCAGTGAAACGACCCTTTCACAGGGGTCGCCTAAGACCATCCTGCATATCAGATATTTCCATGGCGATTCATAACAGTAGCAACATGACAGTTAGGAAGCAGCAACGGAAATAATTTTATGGTTGGGTCACAACATGAGGAACTGTATTTAAAGGGCCAGCAGGTTGAGAACCACTGAAAGTCTTGCCTAAAAGGTTAGTCTGAAGAGGAAATCTCCATTCACCAGCCAGAAAAAGGCTACTGTCTCAGCTACAACATGCAATGATTCGTGCCCCAGAACGCTCACTGTCATGTATGGGGAACCTCACCATGAAGATCTCGACCCTGAAAAACCACAACCTGAGGAGGAATTATGGTTCCAGTTCTGGCTTCTCCGCTGTATTATGTGGCTGTCTTCCCCCAACCTCTCCCTCCTCTGTTAGCCCTTCTTCTGGCCAATGGACCTATCACTCACCCAACTCATTCTGTCCCCCAAATCTGTAAGTCTCCCAAGATTCCTTCTCTCTCCCACTTCACATCCAATTGGTTACTGAGTTTTGTGGATCCTATTTCATAAATCTGTAGTCTGTTCATTCATTGAATATTTATTGTGTGCTAGGAGAATGCAATGAGGAACTGAAGGTGTTCCCCACACCCGCCCTGCCCCCTTCAAGGAGCTAAGCACCTGGGAGAGGGCATTTTGCAAAGGAAAACTTGCTGCTGAGCAGTAAGTCAATGCAAGAAATGGATAGAGAGCTGGGAGGGGGCGCTGGGGGGTACATGACTCATCTAGGGAAGCTTGCGGACTTTCCTCGTGGCCATGTGCAACCTGAGAGGCGAGGATATGTACCGGAAAGCTAGTGCGCATTTCTGGAGGCAAGAACAGAATTCCTCCCTAACCGGTTTGGCTCAGTAGATAGAGCGTCCGCCTGCGGGCTGAAGGGTCCCAGGTTCGATTCCGGTCAAGGGCATGTTCCTTGGCACGTCCCCAGTAGGGGGTGTGCAGGAGGCAGCTGATCCATGTTTCTCTCTCATCGTTTCTAACTCTCTGTCCTTCTCCCTTCCTCTCTGTAAAAAATCAATAAAACATATTAAAAACAAAAAAGAACAGAGCCCAGAATGTGGAGAACTGGCAGTTCACTACGACCTCAGAGCCTCAAAGCTGGTCCCAGCTGGGTCTTAATCCAGTAACTGCACTGCCCAGAAACAAACTTCCTATTCCTGAACAGAAGGGAAGGGGGAAATTTAATCTTTTCCTTCTCTGGAGGTTTGCCCTTCAAGCCGCCTCCCCCCGCCCCCACCCCGCGTTTGTCATTCGTTCATCAAGTCCCTCCTGACCCCTCAGTGTAGGCACTTGCCAGACCAGCCTCGCAGGACGTCCCACCCTTAGGGTTCTCAACGTGTTGGAGAAGGCAGGCCCTGAGGGGGCAACTTTGAGAGCTGGGGGCTGGGAAGCCATGCTGGAAGCGGAGACTGGAGATGTTAGCGGCCTGGTAGACGCATGACTCAGGGCCACGATCG